TAATATCATCAAGCCACTGAGGGCATCCCATCATATCGTCTCGGCCACTGTGGGCACATCATCAACATATACCAACTGATCAGGTGGTGGTGCGTATATAACGCCATAATCTCTTCCCATATCCCATATACATATACATACATATATATGCGTATATAACGCCGTCTGAGTCATATTTCAGCCACTGTGGTCAACATCATCATCATATACCAGCTGATCAGGTGGTGGTGCGTATATAATGTCGTAACCTTTTCCCATATCCTATATACATATATTTACATATATATGTGTATATAACGTCATCTAGTCATGGGTCAATGTACATGTATAAATGAGTGAAATGCATGAAAAATATGTAATAAATCTCAATATTTTTTCCGGATAAACTTTTTTAACTGCGTATTATTCTGAGACCCATGAACAGAAAATAATAATAATTCACATGGGGAATCAAGAATATAGACACCCCTAATATTTCTATGAATAGAATAAATTATGGAAACTATGCGTTTGCTCGTTTCTTCGGTATAATTTGGACCATGCCAAAAGAAAGATGGAATGACCTTAACATACCTGGTGTAGGGAAAACTTCGTATAATATTCCCGAAGAAGATTGCACCGTATTCCTTTAGAACTGTAAAATCTGTACGTTGTTAAACTTCCAATAATCTTCGTAGAGTTTTTTTTTTGGTTGGAAAATGTTTTCTTATGGAAGCTCGCCGTTCTGGTTGTGTTTGTTCATAAGAAATGGAAAATTTGTTTTGTTTAAATCTTGAATTGGCTAAACAGTGGCTAACGTCTTCAAGACCAAGAAGCTAACATTTCCTTTTTAAATTCCAATCTCCAGCATCTTGTAAATCAAGAGCAGCCACCTACTCCAACATGACCATGAGTCATTGTTTGGAAAGTGGTTGGCTTCTACGTTTCATTTGGGTGAAATTTTATTAATTTTTATCCACTTATTAGTTAACTGGGTAATGTTTCGTCACCCGGTAATTAACCAATTACCCGCATAATTTAAAAATTGCAACAAACTACTTAAAATTCTATTTATTTTTAATATACTTTATACATTATACTACTAGGGTTATATGGTATCTTGCATGGTACTAGTTTATAATTATCGGGTATTATCGCTCGACCCGTATTTTATCTCAAATTGGCCATTTTCAACGAAACTCGTTTTCTTTAATTCGTGTACCCCTTTATCCTTCATAACACATATTTATCGCTTGTTATAAATAGCGTAAGTACGTTAACACCAAAATGATTTCATCCCCGAGTCTACGTCAATTAACCGAAGATAAAACTTTTCACGTACGAAAACGCGAGATGTAACAGCAACCCTTCCAATAGTAGTCCCAGGACCTACTCTCACATACTTTATCCCTTGAGGCTGCTTAATAAACAACGACTTCAAGGTCAAAAAAGTCTCCGTACAAAGAGACCGAGGTGAGGAGGCGTGGAGGTACATCTGCTCCATCACCGAGGAAATGCTCCAAGTGGTCCGAGAGGACTGCAAAAAGGAAGGCTAAAACGTAGTTATTCCCTGTCCTAATGAGGATATCACGACGCACATAGAAGGATACTTAAACATTTATACGTATCCTTTCACGTTCGGTCCGGTGGATACGATAATCCTCGAATTTTGTACGAGGTACGAAATCTACCTCGGGTAGATTCACCTGTCCTTTTCGAGGATCATGTCCCTTCTCCGTCACTTCACTAACAACACGGAGGAGCCTCAGTTCACAATTGACCGTCTGCTCCAAGTTTTCAACCTCCAAATTTTTTAAGGGGGGTTAATCAAGCTTGCTCATCGAGCAAAGAAAGCTCCCTTCTCCTGTATCGACGAGGATAAGTACTGAGGCTGGAATGAGAGGTTTGTTAGGGTAAAACCAAAGTCCTCATTCCTTCCAAGTTCTTGTCGTTCCCCAAGAAGTGGAAACGTAAGTTTGCTTCTTCTTAGGTTGTCAAAGTACTTTTTTTAATTCTACTCCTCTTTCTCATTGTCCGCCTCTTTTGACATGCAGCTGTCAAAAGAGGCAAACAACTCACCTATTCCGAGCGAGAGTTGCGCAAGCTTTCCAAAGTCAAGTGGGAGGCTCGTTCTCATGGTGAGTGTCCCTCTTCTTTTAGTTGAATTTCCCTTTGGGTCGTTTTTATTTTGTCATTGTTATGACTAAGCCTTTTTCCCCGGGCTAGCCTAAGACCACCAAATTTTGAGCAATCATCGAGGTCGTAGCCTCGTCCCCATCTAAAAAATCCTTTGTTTCACTATAGCCTACTATCGAAGCTAATGCGGAGAAGGAGGAGAAAATGACTAAAAAAAAAAGGTCTCGTGACTCCTCGGACGTCCTGCCAAGGCTAAGAAGGAGAAAAAGATCGTGGTGATGGTCAGAAAGAGCACCAAGAAAGCTTCCAGTGCCCGTGTCCCGGACTCCGAAGCTGTTTACCAGTTTAAGGACTATCCTGAGGATGTTGAAGACATGGAATTCATCGCTCACTAACTGATCGATATTGACCTAGAGTTGGCGCCCCCCGAGGGGGTTGCTCGAAAGCCTGAGTTCCCTGTAGCTCAGGGGCTCGAAGAAGGCCAAGTAGCTACTGCTTCACAGGAAGCTCCTCCGGTTCCGTAGGAGGCCGCCTCAAAAAATGCCGATGTTATCTATGTTTTGGAGTTACCGCCTCATATGGAGGCCTTTTTAGATGAGGCTTGGGCATCCGCAGAAAAAATGACCGAGGCATATCGGGCTGTGGACGAGGCCCTTAACCCATTTTTTGAGGGCGTAAATGGCGGAATGCTAGAGTATTACTCCGATTTTGGCCACTTAGAGATCCCGAAAAAGGTTGTGCAACCAGGATCAAGTGGTCTGAGTTCGAGCCCAAAGCTCAAGAAGAGGCTTCCCGCCCCGAGTGTGGACCTTGACCAGAAGAAGATGGTCATGTCACAATAGAGGTGGATACTAGCATGCTATCCAGGCCAGTTGGAGTGGCCGGCTCTCTCCGTTCCTTGGTAACTGAAGAGGACCAAGTGAAGATGAACAAGGTAGATGATCCAAGTCTCTTCAACGAGGCTCAGCAGGCGCTGAATCGGGTATAGCTTTCTCTCTTTCTACTTAAAGAGTTCTCTTTGCCTTAACGGTATTTTGAAGATTTCTCTTTCCTTATGTATCATGCCTCAGTGCTTCACCATGAAAGTTTTCACCGGTTAGAGGTGAGTCACCTCGAGTTCGAGCTCAAGGAGCAGGTTCGGCAAAAAGAGATGTACAAAGCTCTATATGAGCAAAAGGATAAAGTCCTTAGGGACATGATTGACCGCTCTGTCCTTCAAGCTGAGCTGGAGAAAGCCCAAAAGGTGGCTTCAAAAGCGAAACAGGACCATGTCCTTCTTGTTAAAAAGGTAAAAGTGCTCGAGATCGATATAGAGTGGTTAAATGCAAATGCTAACGCTGCAACCTCGTAGGTCCAGGAGAAAACAACCTTGATCGACTAGCTTAGGTGCGAGATGGACGAGGTCAAGGCTTCAGTTGGCGAGCTGAGGGGGAAATGGACCTCCTAGCATCGGAACGTGATACCACTAGAGGGGACCTGGCATCGACCAAAGTGTAGCTCCGAGTGATGAGAGATAAAGCCGATAAATGGTTTCGTCTGAACGAGGAGCTCAGGGCACAGCTTTCCTCAACCGTTGCAGAACGTGATGCCCTTGGCCAAGAGTACACGCCGCTGAAATCCACATTGGAAATGGCTTCGAACGAGGCCTCAAAAGCCCAGGACATGCTGGCCCAATACAAGAATGATGTAGAGGTAGCCGAAGCTCGTGTTATAACAAAGGCCGAGTACGTGAGTGGCTATCTCGGAGAGAGACTCTCTAGAAGATCTAAGCATGGGGGGTTTACCTAGCGGTCGGGATTGAAGAGGCTGAGAGGCTTGAAGACGAGGCCAAATTGAGGTACCAGCTAGGCTTTGATGTAGACTAGGCAGGAAATGCCTTAGTTTATTTTCGTCTTTTCTTGTAGTTACATGCTTTGTATTTTGGGGCCGTTTTATAGCACCTCTGTAAACACCTTTTGGTAAATATATATGAAATTTTTCCTTCGTCTACATGTTGTGTCCTTTAACTTTTCTGTAGTTGCCTATATTTTAGACTTAGGATATATAACTCGTGTCTCAGACATAATAATGTGACATCGGTGCCTTATAATAAAATTTTGAGATCGGTTAAATTGTTCAATCTTCCAAGTCCCAAATGAGGCCCAAGTTAAATAATAACTCCGAGTTGCTTTAACTTCGGAAGACCCGTTAAAAACAAAGTATTTGCTAAAATATTTGAATGATTTATCTGGACGCAGCTAATCTTTGCCAAAGGTAACTCTTTTTATGCCCGTAATTCGAGACCGATTGACTTGATCGGGTCTGAAGTAATCTTGTATAGATTTAAAATGTGTAAGGACCTTACTTTTTATGCACGAACTCAGACGTCTCCGAGCCGTTTATACATTATGATCGAAGTTCTAGAGGCTTCATATCTAAAATTGGCCGTAGCATTTCGTGTTTGGGCCCTACCTTGTAGGCTCGGTGCCTTCGGGATTTAGTAGCCCGATTTTTTCAATCTTACTGTCGGGTAGCAGTCCCCGATTCGGAGTGATCCGTAGATCTTTAGATGGTTGTGCACGATATCGTGGATTCTTACTGCCTTCGGGGTTTCATGCCCCCGTTTAATGGTGGTTTGTGGGCCTAGAAGGTTTTGAACCAAGTATTCATTCTAAGTGATGAATGATAACATTGCTTGTGTGAATGCGAATCGATTAAACATAGAAGGAGAATTTCTTTTTATTATTTAAATGTAAGTAATTCAAGGTACAAAAACTACTCGCCATGGCGAGAATGAACTATATGCGCACGGTTCATTACTGGTGTTGTGGTGCATAAGGGAGTCCTAGCAATATAGTTGAAGAGGCACCAACTATATGATTCAAAATATATGCAACAAGAGTGTATAAATTCAACGAATATAGACTCCACTAGTATTAATATTATGAAGTTCAATCTCCCATAGGGGACTTATTTACATGCTAGAATTCAACATTCAGCAAGCTGAGCAACGCATGTATATTTGGAACTACAGAACGATCATGGTAACATTAATTACAGCCTATAAAGGTTTCGAGTTCTTCAATTCTATCAACACCAGTAGCAGCATTAACTGCATCATGACCAACGCCCTTTTTGGTCACCCCAAAAGTTTCAACATACTGTTTCCTGCAAATAAAAATTTATTCTTTAATTAGTGTCCATGCCAAAGAATATTTTTTAATGGCCAAACTACAAAGTAAAAAAGAGGATAGGGAAGGTTTATAAAACAGACCTTGCAGGCAGTTGATCTGCATCTGGACGATAGTACGCTGTCCAAATTGGGTCACTAGCAAAGAGCCGGATTGCCTACAAAAATCATACAATTTCATAGATGGCACATTTGAGAACAATTGTCTAATCAGTAATCAAGTATAATATAGAAAGAGTGCAACCAACGTTAGCCTTAAACTAAAGAGGGAGCAGTGGTGACAACATGACCACGATTAAAAGGCTGTACGAAGAGTTGATCAACAGTTAAACAAGTTTGACTAATATTGACCACAGATTTGACCACCGTTGACCTATATTAGACCCCCCTTGGAGCTGAACTCAAGTATTTTTTTCACATGCCCCCTACGACTCCTTTAGTTATGGAAAAGCTTTTATTAGTCTAGAATATATGGACTTGGAGCTAAACTCATTGTTTAGCTAACAATATAAATAGGAGCACTCTACTGTTTTTACCTATTTTTGGCTGATATATTTAGGTATGGCTCTAGCGACACCCTTTGAGTTCTTGAAGAACGTAACTCATTGGATTGCCATTGAAGGTGGTTTTTTTGGGGGGTAATGTTTTTGCTTATCTTTGACATCTTAGTGTTTATATTTACGCAATGAGGATATGTTGTTATTAATTAAGTTACGTCAAGAAAATGAATAGTCACGCTAGCTGCTCTTCATCATTTGCTTAGGAATTAATGCTCTTATTAAGTACCTTAATGTAATTGCTTGAATCAAGTGTGAAGCATTGATAAATTCCAGCAGGAACAACAATGAGTCCACCTTTCTTTACCCATATCCGAATCCAAGCGCCATTACTATCCCGAACATCAAAATAACCTACACCAAGAGGTACATATTTTAAACAGAGTATAGTTGACAGAATGATTTATAAAGTCAAATTAATGAAGTCTAGCATTACCGCTTCCTGCAAGACAGTAACGGACCTCCTCATCAATATGCAGGTGTTCTTCAAAGAATTTCTTCATCATCTCCTCGTAATTTGGTAATGTTTTAGGGTTAACCAGCGGATAATATAGTTACCCATATTATCCATGACTTCTTAAATATGATCACTTTTGGGAGAATTCATAATCTCCCAAACTTAAAAAAACCCTAATTTGAAGCTTTACAAATATAAAAGTTAAACACATTAGTTATTCATTTTTTGAATGGATAATATGATTCTTATTCATATTTTACCCATTTTTAAAAAATTTATTATCCAACCCATTTTTTAATAAATAATATAGGTGGTTAACTGTTTTATTTTAACTATTTTGCCACTATTAGTTATCTCTAATATATACAGCCGGTCGGGACTTACCTAATACAAGTCAACCCCGAAATACATCATGTATTATTATAGAGCTATGGTCAGTTTTCCACCGTGCACTAATGTAACTTTATGGACATGAAAATATTTGGTAGAAAGAAGAGAAGTGATTGGATAATAACTTACTATATATTGTGACTAAAATTCTTATACATCATGCATGAAAGTGCATGCATCGAATGTTACTTTGTTTATCTATAGTTCCAATAAAAATTATTGCCAAAAAAAAAAATTATGCGTAGTAAACATCGTAAATAGCCTCAAAAAAAGACAGTCTGGTGCACTAAATTCCTGCTACGCGGGGTCCGGAGAAGAGTTGGACCACAAGGGTCTATCATACGCAGTCTTACCCTGCATTTCTCCAAGAGGCTATTTCTTCGGAACCCGTGACTTCCTGATCACATGGCATCAACTTTACCAGTTACGCCAAAGTTCTCCTTCAAGAAACTACAAAAATACCCATGAAAGTTGAGGAAGATTTGTATATCCCTTCCAAGAATAACCAATGAAAGATTAAGGAAACAGAAAGAGAAAAATTGTCAATTACATACCTTTGCAAGTGAAACCATATTTGCTTATCTCTCTTCTGGACCGTGGACGAATGTTGAAAATCTGATACTAATGTAAAATGCTAGAAGAAAATATATAGTGGTAGTGAGAACCATTTTTAAGTCAATGTCCATCGTCTTTTTTTTTCTTTTTTCTTTTTCCGAACTTTGGTTTTTCAGAAAACTAAGATCATGTCACTACTCACTATAAAGTCTAAGTCAACCGACTTTTTCCTTTTCTAGGCTAGTTGGGTGTGAATCTCCATAGTTTTATTACTACCAGTGTCTATTTTTTAGTTATTGCTAACACGTTCAGTTTCAGTAATCTATATACTAATACAAATATAAGTTTCATTAAGGCTTTTCTTTTTAATTATTAAACCAATATTCATGAAGACTTGGTCGACTAAAACTGCTAGCCTCGTTATCATTGCCCATTGGAATGCAACTCTTAGTATTTAAGTATTAAACACTATTTAAGTGGAGGTGGGAGGAAAAGTTGTTTTATTCAATTCATGTAAGACTTTTTAAGGTTTAATTAGAGTCATTCTATAATAAAAGAATTGCAATCCAATATAAATTTCTTTCTTTTTCTTTTCTTAAAAATAAAGTGCATTCCATTATACATTTAAACAAAATTCTCATTTACAATTGGTACATGATCCAATTTCATCAAAGATTCCATTTACTTTTCGAAGAGGGTGATAATATCATTTGGAGCTACTTTTTGAGATCACGTTGCAATATTTGTTCAACAATGAGTTATTGCTTTACCTGCTTGTACATTATGCAATTAGACTTCGATATGAAATACGCAATCTATTTATCCATTCATGTACTATATTATAAGCATGAACACTTTTAGACGAAGTTAGTTTACTAATATGTCCTTCAGAAACTGAATGACCAAATTACCCTCTACCTAAAATTAAAATTACCTCCCACAAAATGATATTTTGTACTTAAAACAAGCAGAAGAAACAATACCCTTTTCTATGGTAAAATGGGGTTTGGGGAGGGTAGTGTATACGTGTCACGATCCGGATTTTCCACCCTCGGAAATCATAATGGCTCCTACTAGTAAAAACTAGGCAAGCGGACCATTTGCACAAATTACCCTTTTCTCATTTTAATTCTTTAACAATGTAAAACAACCGTTTTAAACAGCGAAAATTTAAAACAAGCGGAAGAAAATATTAAACCATTTAAATAGTTCCAACATGATTCTTACACAAAATCTACCCAGAACTGGTGTCACGCTTCACAGACAGTCTAGAATTACTGCAAACAAGGTCTGAAAAATAAATAATACACTGTTTCTTAAATATGTAAATGAAACAGGATGAAGGGATAGAGGGAGACGCCAGGGCCTGCGGACGCCTGCAGGACTACCGCGGAATCTCCGACTGGACTGAAGGCAGCCACCCAAGCTAAGGTCCGAATGATGTTGCTCCGGAATCTGCACAGAGTGCAGAGTGTAGTATCAGCACAGCCGACCCCATGTACTGGTAAGTGCCTAGCCTAACCTCGACGAAGTAATGACGATGCTAGGACCAGACTACCAAATAAATCTGTGCAATTATATCATATTCAGCGAAAAATAAAGATAGAAATATACAAGTAAGGATGGGAGGAGGGAACATGTTGCAGAGAAATATCATTTACCGACAGTAACTCACGAGAAAAACATAAAGTACAATTTAAGATTCGCGGCAGAAAGAATAAGGAAAACCGTAACCAATCAATAACTACTTTTATCATTTATTGTTGCGGCGCGCAACCCGATCCAAATCATAAAAACACTGTTGCGGCGTGCAACCCGATCCATATCATTTATCACAGTTGCGGCGTGCAACCCAATACAATTATAATGTTGTTGTGGTGTGCAACCCGATCCAAATATAATATTGTTGCGGCATGCAATCCGATCCAAATATACAGTTCAACACCAATCACGAAAGAGTCCCAGCAAGGGAACAATAAGGAAACAACACCATCCCGGCAAGGGAATCGACAGAATAAGTAAATACGTCCCGGCAATGGAATCAGCTATAACCAAACTTGTTCTAACATTTAACTTTACAAAAGAAACCTGAACTAGCACCAATACTCAACCATAAGCAAATTTCCATGAGAATAATCATATTTCTTGTCCAACACAGTGAATCAACAACTTAGGCATTCGTAGTACTTATTAAGAACACAACGATTTCAATTTAAGACTCACGGGCATTCTTGATACCAACATATAGATACTCGTCACCATGCCTATACATCGTACTCAACAAATAACACATAGCAAATAGGACACAACTCTTAATCCCTCAAGCTAAGGTTAGACCAAACACTTACCTCGAACTTCCACGGCCAACTCAAGCCTCAAACACCCCTTTTTCTTTAGAATTCGCCTCCAAACAACTCGTATCTAGCCCAAATTGATTTAACAACATCAATAAATGCTAAAGAATTCATACCCAATGCTTAATTATAGGTTTTCTATCATTTTCCCCAAAAAGTCAAAAATTGACCCCGGGCCCGCTTTGGTCAAAACTAGAGGTTCGGACCAAAACCCGATCACCATTCACCCACGAGACTAAATATGCAATTATATTCGAAATCCGACCCCAAAACGAGGTCTAAATCCCAATTAATCAAAAAACCCTAACTCTACCCAAATTCCTAATTTCTACCATAAAAACCCTAGATTTTAGGATGAAAATTGATGAAATGCAATGGGAAATCGAAAGAAAAAGGTTTAGAATCATTTACCAATATTTTGGGGAAGAAATTGTGCTTTGAAAATCGCCTCAATGCTCCCAAATTTCGAAAATATGAAGGAAATGGGTCCTGCACGTTTTTGCTTCTGTTTTAAAATCACTGGACAGGTCTTCATTGCATTCGCGATAGGCCTGTCTCGTTCGCGATGAGTCAGGCCCAGCTGACCATCGCGTTCGCAATCAGAAGCTCTCGCTCGCGAAGCTTTAGTTCCCTGAGTCATCGCATTCGCAGTCAGGTGGCCGCGTTCGCATAAGGTAAGTTTGAAATCCCTCGCCCAGGCCACTAACCCTACGCGTTTGTGAGGTCCTGGACGCGTTCTCATAGGGTATTCTCCCCACAGCCTCACGTTCGTGTCCCAAGCTCTGCGTTCGCGAAGAAAAATTTTCACCTGAGGGAGATTGCCTTCCGCGTTCGCGAGTGAAGCCACGCGAACGCAAAGCACAAAATCCCTGTGCACCAGAAACTGAAAACCTACAACTTTTTTCTAAGTTTAAAACCTTTCGAAACTCACCCGAGCCCTCGGGGCTCCAAACCAAACATGCATACTAACTCAAAACATCATATGAACTTATCTGTGCGATCAAATCGCCAAAATAACACCTTTAACAACGAATTTAGCATAGAAATCTAAGAAAAACCTCAAAACTTTCAAAGTGTCAATTTTTACAACTACGGGTCTAAATCACATCAAACGACTTCCGTTTCTGACCAAATTTCACAGGCTTGACTTAAACCACATATAAGACCTGTACTAGGATCTGGAACCAAAATACGGGCTCGATACCAACAACGTCCAAACATTTTTCATTTCTAAAACCTCACATATTTTCCAAGAAATAATTTTTCTGTAAAAATTCATTTCTCGGGCTTGGGACCTCAGAATTCGATTCCAGGCATACACCCAAGTCCCATATTTTCCTACGGACCCTCCTGGACCGTCAAATCACGGGTCTTGGTCCGTTTACCCAAAATGTTGACCAAAGTCAACTTAAATTCATTTTAAAGGCAAATTTTGTCATTTTCCACAGATTTTCACATAATGGCTTTTCGGCTACGCGCCCGTACTACGCATGCAAATCGAGGTGATGCGGAGAGAGGTTTGTAAGGCCTCAAAACATAGAATTTATTCGTAAATCAAGTGATGACCTTTTGGGTCATCACATCCTCCACCTCTAAAACAATCATTCGTCCTCGAATGGACATAAGAAGGAAGTATCTGAGTCGGGGAAAAGATGGGGGTAACGGCTCCGCATATCGGACTCGGACTATCAGGTCGATGCCTCAGCAGACTGACCTCTCCACTGAACACGAACAGAAGGAAAACTCTTCAATCTCAACTAGCAAACCTGTCGGTTTAGAATAGCTACCGGCTCCTCCTCATAAGACAAGTCCTTGTCCAACTGGACAGTGCTGAAATCTAACACGTGGGATGGATCGTCGTGATACTTCCGAAGAATGGACACATGAAACACTGGATGCACGGCTGATAAACTCGGTGGCAACGCAAGTCTGTAAGACACCTGTCCCACTTGATCTAGAATCTCAAACGGGCCAATGAACCTAGGGCTAAGCTTGCCCTTCTTTCCAAATCTTATCACACCCTTCATAAACGACACCCGAAGAAATACCCGCTCACCAACCATGAATGCTAAATCACGAACCTTACGGTTGGCATAACTCTTTTGCCTAGACTGAGCTGTACGAAGCCTATTCTGTACTAGATCCATACCCAACAACTGAGCCTCTCCCGGCTCAAACCATCCAACTGGCGACCGACACCGCCTACTATATAAAGCCTCGTAAGGAGCCATCTGGATGCTTGATTGGTAGTTGTTGCTGTAGGCAAACTCTGCTAAAGGCAAAAACTTATCCCACGAGCCTCCAAAGTCAATGACACAAGCTTAGAGCATATCCTCCAAAATCTAAATAGTACGCTCGGACTACTCATTTGTCTGAGGATGAAATGTTGTGCTCAACTTGACCCGTGTGCCCAACTCACACTGAACTACTCCCCAGAAATGTGAGGTAAACTGCGTACCTCAGTCCGAAATAATAGACACAGGCACACCATAAAGACGAACAATCTCTCAAATATAGATCTCAGCTAACTTCTCGGAAGAATAGGAGACTGCCACTGGAATGAAATGTGCTGACTTGGTTAGCCTATCAACAATAACCCACACTGCATCGAACTTCCTCTGAGTCCATGGGAGTCCAACAACGAAGTCCATAGTGATACACTCCCACTTCTACTCAGAAATCTCAATCTTCTGGAACAAACCACCGGGCCTCTAATGCTCGTACTTAACCTACTAACAGTTCAAACACCGAGCCACATATGCAACAATGTCCTTCTTCATTCTCCGCCACCAATAATGTTGCCGCAAATCCTGATACATCTTAGCGGCGCCCGAATGAATAGAGTACCGGGAA